TGTGAAGTTTTGAAGTTAAACAACTTCAAACTGTTGTGAAGTTGTGAAGTGAAACAACTACAGCTTTATCAAAATTCATCTCAAATAGTTGCTTGAGATTTTTTTCTAGTAAACAGTCTAACCTACTTTTGGGCGCATATAAATAAACCTTTCAGGATAAGTCAGAAATGGGCTAACTACGAATCAATAAAGTTATGATGGCGATTTGGTTATTCGATTAAAGGTACATATGATCTGAGCATCGATGGGGCGTTGAGTTTTTCAGAATCTGACCAATTCAAGTTGTATGGGCTATATCGTCCGTAGTGCATTGTGCATTGTGCGCTGAAAAGAGGTTAATTGGTCATTTGACGGTTCGTGTAAGATTAATTTCAAGTAATCTACATTTATTTGACTTAACTAAATTCAGCATGAATAATAATTAGTAGTAGAAGAAGAACATGTTATGATTCTGCGCAATATTTTAAAGGATTTATTGTTTGTCGTTGTTAAAGCCAAGGTTACATTGGCCACGGTCTCTGTACAATGAAATCGTATACAATTTTCGTTGCGATTTTTATTTATTTATTTATTTATTATGATTTTTTGACATCGATGGTAAGTGTTTACTGGCTACAGCGATTATTTTTACATTTCGTTCCGATGCCGAGGAATTTCTCCGACATGACCTTGAGGTCAAGTAGGAAACAACAGTTTTTCATGTAAAAAGTGGGGGCATGGAGCCCTTTTAGTCTCAGTGCAGTTGCCATACGCTTTCCCTGCGGCCTCTTAAAAGGTCAATAGGTCAATACTCTGTCGGTGTGCAGCACCCAACGATAATTAGCACCCATGTGGTTACAAATTCATGCAAGTGATTAACACAAAGTCTTCTTTGATATTTTCACTATTGTTATGCTCTTTTAAACCACCAAATGCGAGAGGGAAAAAGTCCAACAACAAGTTCAACCATTATCACTATCAAGGCAAGTCCACGGAGCAATGCCCGAACGGGAACTGTGGTATTGCCCCGGCCGACGTGCTTGCGATTTTCGAAATTTGACCAAAGTTTTAGGTTGACAAAATCGTAGAGACCACGGTGGTCGTGAACCTGCTTGCCTCCGTTCAGACGCCTTACGAAAAAAGATTTGTGGACAGTGTGCCTGCACCCTACCTTTATCGCATGACAAATAATATCTAGGCTTAAAATTAGTTATTCAGGCAATGTGACATTTAATTTCATATTTTAAATAACCCTAAGTTCTAAATGTTGTAGATTTGTCATGTTGTAAAGCAAAAAAAAAAAATACGGTTACCGTTTTATTAATGGCAAATTACCATAATTTTATTCAAATTCAATTAATTAAAATTTTGAAAGCTTTAAAGTGCAAGTATAATTTTGTTAGGAAATAAATTCGATGCCTGTAGTGCAGAACTGTACTCTGTATTAGACAAGAATCGAATTTATTCATGTCTCCAGGATTATGTCGATTGTTTGATTTCACAATCAAAAAAGTAAAATGTGACGACGTTTATAAGAGCTGTACGCTGGGACGCTTACAATTTGGGGTCAATTAATTGAAAGAAAATCCTTATATAAGTCTCGTTTGGGGTTAGGCAGAAATAAAAACGACCTTAACTGGCCTAGGACAATTAACCTACATCTTGCGTTTGTCATTTATTCCGTTAATTGATCAAGTACTACTCAGGGCGTTTTAGATAGTCAGTTTAGTTTGATGGGGCGTGAAATATTATCAATGCATTGACAGAATATAGCATGAAAGATTTTTATATGCAAGAAAGGCACTATGTTCTTAATATATACTACTGGTAAACAAGAGATGAAGCACATGATAATATATCAAGGGCTGCATTCACACACAAGTTCATCCACGTACTAACTGATCCGTGGGTCAAATATGGCGTGCACTGAAAAGCATGCTACCGGTCCTGCGTTGGGACCTCCTCTACTCCTATTTTTTGCAAGTCTTTGATAACCATTGCAGCCTTACACAAGACGTGAAAAATGGAATATTCAAAATCTTCTTACGGCATTCTCTACTACTGCAATGGGGAAATTAATTCATTCTGGATATATATATATATATATATATATATATATATATATATATATATATATATATATATATATATGCGACTTTAAACCACAGTCCAATATTCACACTTCAGTGTAATCACGACGGCACGACGGCTGTTTGAGATCTTGACACAACGGTGACACGCCGCAGTGGGGAAGACATAATTCATTCGCCATTCAGTGACCTATATATTGTTCTGTTTATGCACGTGTATTGTGGGGTGCTTTCCTCCAACTGTGGGCCTGTGCTGACCTTAACCCCTGCTCACTTGCCCGTATCAATCGGCGACAACAAGCTTCGCTTTTCCCTTGTTACGTCACAGCGTCAGCCATTTTCACGTACGGAAACCCCACAAGATACCTGGAGAATTGGAGAATTAACAGTTGGAGGTAAATATCACAGAGCATAATTACTAAAGTAAATGGTCATGTAGTATGCCCCTACGTGTGAGTTGGGTCTTTTCCATGCTGTACATACATGTATATAATCATATTAAAACGCACGTGTATGTCATTTAATAAACCAAGACATATTGGGAGATGTGCGCCTGTCTTACTACAGAATACCAAAGCCACATGCACTTTTATCTCTGGAGAACGTGACATGTCCTGACATCACCTATAGGGTGTTATATGTCTGGGACGGAATAGATCAGAATAGGATAGACCTGTATCAGATTTGGTTTTAAGTACTCATCTGGGACAGAGTTGTTCTGTAAATTGGGACAGAATGGAGCTATCATATTTAGGCTAGACTGATATAAACCGAGTCTCAGATACCCCGGTATATAGTATTTGCATGTCTTAAGTAAGACCTCAATGTCTCTAAATAATAAGCACGTTCTGATACAAAACGATCAACGTACGTGTCATAAAAATAAGCTGCTGGCATGACATGATGAAGTATAATGTGGTTTTCGGCCTAGACATAATTATTATAAGCTCTAGATCTGTAGCCTAATTGACAAAGACGTGAAATGTGTCTGAAAACGCGTGCTTGGACATGATCTAAAAATAGACCAGAGTGACCTCATTGCGATGACCGCTCTTCTGTCAGCTGCAATTCAGACATAATTTTTTATAATTATATGCATATATTGGGCAACAGCTTTTTCATTTTAATTCACGTCCTGAATATGAGTATGATGAATATTGTTGGGAGGTGGTCTTCATTAAATGTTCCCCAGTCCGACTTAATTTGCACTCTATTTATCATTATTATTATTATTATTATTATTATTATTATTATTATATCTAGACCGCACTCAGATTCAGACATCGTTCCAGCAGGGTCATTCCAACTCTGCTGGGGATTCTCGCTAAAGTGCAGTCAGTGGGATCAGCTTAACTGTCTGACACGCCTCCTCGAGCTGCTAGGGGCAACAAACTTCCGTGTGCGCTTGGCTTAATTACCCCCTGACATAAGAATATCTAGATTCGGCTTATGATTCCCAATTTCAGTTATCCCCGGAGGAAAAAAAACAAAGCAGCTTCGTTTCGAATATCCAAACTTTGTTTATTTAAAGGCCCCTGCCTGGTTTTATAGTTGAAGTCGTGACAGAATTAACAACATAAAAGATTCAACTTTATAGAGAGATAAAGGCAATTAAAGATAAGGAAATTGCGAAATAAACTACATTACGAGAGGCATGCACATGCAGGCGACTCTATTAAAAATAATTTACACACCTGTTGATTATTTCCCGACCTATACAACTTCCAACTTTGTATATAGTACAGTAATGTTTGGGATTACTTTAGAGACATTATTTATGGGCTAGTTGTGCTGGAAATGAAAGTCACTGGGAATGTCTCGATGTCCATGACAGTATGCAAGGACATGTACTAATAACTTTGTCCTGAAAGCCAGACTCCGGTTAAACTTTTCAGACTTAAGAAAAATAATTTACTATATGTACATTTACTATAACCACAGAGAATGGGGACTTTTGACCAAATGGGGCTAATACGCGGAGCCGTTTGTCCTAAAGAGGGCGCTGGGGTAATAGTGGTTATTGAAGATAGCCTCGTTTTCGCGTCCGTGTAGAAATGGCTTTAGAGTATGGGAAGCAAACAGTGGCGAAGTTAAAACTTCAACTAGTTGAAAGAGGAGCCTCCACTAGAGGAAAAAAAAGGATTTGGTAGAAAGGTTAGTGTGTTTACTTATAAATGTGTCAATTGTATCATTAATTTTGAAGGTTTCGCGCTCGAATCTTCCCGTAAAATATTGGTTTCTGTGTGAGCTCCCTGTCAAAAGCCAGGTGTAAGCGGCGGCTAGTTCCGCCCTACTTATATGCCTAATTTATTACTATATTTCAAGATAATGATATTGTCATTGCGTATTTCCATATTCCGAGAATATAATGAAGGTATTTATATTTAAAATATGTTCATTGTAGGCACTCCTAGTCGATAAAGGACCGTTCGTTTCGGTAATCAAATTTCGTGTACCAGGTCCGACATCTAACACGACTTGTGTCAACACAAATTTGTAAAGGAGAAACAAGGGTTGATGCGTGTTTTATGTCAATGACAGTTGACATAACTTAGTGTAGATGAGGTAGACAATCAAAACAGTGTTTGCCAAGAATGTTAGCATCGTTTTGTTAGCATCATTGTTTTTTTCACTCCCTCATAATTGCATCAATTGATGTTGGTAGGTCACAGAGAAGGAAGTGTCAGAACTTGAAAACGGAACTAGAGGCCAAAGTAAAAGTCGAGTGTGGCATGAAGAAAGATCATGGAGAATAACAGCATCGAGGTAGGTGTGCAAACGAAAATAAGTTTGCTTGTTTTTTACTTGTTCAATGTCTTGTATCAATATCGTGTCCTAGCTTGAGCTACTATATATACCTGCAGTTGCATTATAATACAGAAATACAAGTTGTGAGATGATATATCATGGTTTGAAGGTCAAGATTTAATGCTATGAATGTACAATTTCATTTTGCATTTGGAATACAAATTGAAAAGAACAGTAAAAAACCTATCTCACTAATTTAATTTTATCATTTTAGGTTTGGTGACCTATTTTGAACGCAACCGAAAGACAAGACAAGGACAAATTATGCCAGTCACTGTTGTTTACCCATGAAATCAATACTCCATATTTCTTAAAATTTACAGACATATAGTCGTCAACTATGTCACGTTCTGGCCAAATGTTCATTTCACTGAGCTGGAAAAACAAAGTTGATCCATGTGCTTATTATTTCTGACACCGTTGTTACCGATAGCTTGAAACGGAGAGCTAAATAATCGTCAAAGGCTTGTCTCAGTTTCATAATGATCAAAAAACATTGGCCCTGGTGACAAACTTTTGAAATTCAAGTGGTGAGCTGCTGGCCCAAGGCCATTGAAAAACAACATGAAATGTTCAATATGACTAAATCCAGTTTGATACTGGACAGCCTTTGCATTTTTCTGGTACAGCATGATGCTTTCTCTTGTGTCTGATGGTGTAGTGATATCACACTGGGAAGCTGTTCTTTCTTTTTGGCTCTCACCAGCGCAGTCTTCATGCTTGTCTGCCACTGCTTCATCTGCTTGAGACTCATCCTATATAGGATACAACAAAAAATAAATACATAAGTTAATAAATTACACAAAGAAAAATACTTCATTGTTAATTAACACATAAAATCTGTGTAGATGACAGAAATGACGCAGATCTGACTGCCTCTTGTCCCCTTTAGTCCGTCTCTAGTATTTCTAGTATTAAGACAGATAGTTATACAAATAAAAAGAAATATTTTATTTATAAATCTGTTATTATATCATGCGTTATATTTACCTCCACTTCATCGGATCTGATACTTTGCGAATTATTAAATGGAAATATGGATGGTATCGTTCCTGGCTTCAGTCTTTTTCTCTCATCTGCAAAAAGAGTGCACATAACGATTATTAATACAATAAAAATCAAGTTGTCCTAATTTGAAAACGTGGCCTTTAAAAAACCTCATGTATTATATAAAAAAGAAGAAATGTGGCTGGTAGTGGCTGGTCGGGGTTGACCCGGGCTCGGTAGCTTAGTCGGTAGAGTGTTTTCTCCCCCAAATCGCTACATAATGTTAGGTGAAGAATGTCTTAAAAATTAACATTCTAAGCACGTTAAACGACATAATTACTTAAACATCGATAACAAAGACCTAATGAATAAGTTGACAAACTCATTATTAATACTAAAAGCGACAACAGCAAGTACAACTTACGTAGAAGTGTAATCTTCCTCACGAAAGTGGAGGAAACAGACTTTGTCATGTGCCTTTGGTTTCCATAGTGTTTTTGATGTAGAATCAACCCTCCTTATGGCAACTCTCCACTGGTAACTCAGCTTTGTGTCTTTCGGAAAAGAATGGCCTGCTGTTGACGATGTACATTCCGGAACACAACAGTATCCTGGCATTATTTAGAGCGATATTTACAGCGTCAGATTAAAAATGAAACTGCAAACATACGAGAAAGTACGCGCATGCGCAAAAGTACCCCAACTAAAACACGCGCGCCACCCAGTGGTGAAAAAAACTGATAGCCCCATTTTAGGTATTTATACAAATACAAATTTTTTACTATGGTTGTTCGTCTCAGTAAACCAAAAGTAAACCAGATCTAAAGACCCCAAATTTCCAAGCTCTTCTCGCTTTAGGAATTTTATTTATTCACTGAAATACGTAATATTCCTAAGATAAAAGAGCGTTATTACAAAGCATCCATCGAGTCACCGAGAAGAGAACTTTGAAAAAAACCATTTTAATACTTGAAAAACATATGTCAATCTCAGCCACGACTGTGTCACACCTAATGCAATGCGCATGTGATGGATAGACGCATAGGATTAAGATGATAAAGGTGTTGGCTAATAGACTGTAATCCGACCCGTCATTTTATGCCTGGTCTTAAATGAATATATATAGCTCATTGTTTCAATCATGGCAGTCTTAACTCCATGAAAAGCATACACTCCCAGAGGCAATATCTGGCGCTCTGAATTATCGTTATAATTATAATAATATCTTCACTACCATGATGATAACAGTGAGAAATACTAGTAAATGGCCTGTATATAGGATGTCACAGAAACGTCTCTCTCTCTCTCTCTCTCTCTCTCTCTCTCTCTCTCTCTCTCTCTCTAAAGGCCATTTTAAAATCGCTGTCCGCAGATTTCTTATCAATATGATAACGATTGAATTATGCTGGGAAAGATTTTAAGGTTTGCACCTGTACGGACACTTCTCTAGCTATACACTCGCTGCCACTCTCTCATATTTTATTTATTTTATCTTTGTAGGTCTTGTAAACAAAAAGAGGACCTTGTGTACCTATTTTAAGTTCGACTAGAGATTAAGAGTGAAGAAGAAACCAATTTGGCGGAGTTCATTCCAGGTAAAGTGTTTTTAAAACATTGGGAGAAGGTCGTTAACGTCTTTGCTCTTGGTAATTTACTTTTAAGGGGAGTCTAGGTCTTTTCAGGGGAAGACTGTTCGGACAAAAACTACTTTAGACCAAACAACAGACAAACTCGCGTCATCGGGCGACTCGATTGGTCAACCAAAGATTAAATGCCTTGGACGCCACGGGCCCTCTCAGGAATCTGGCCGCTGTATAGCGTGAGTAAGACCGACTTGCGGTTTAAATCGGTCTTTGTCTGAGCAGTCCGTTTCAGGTCAGATGTAGACAGACTGCGTAATTTATCTTCATTCGGCTCGCGGTGAGAGAGGGGAGTAGCAGCTAATATCGACTCAGCTGAGACAAGGTGAGACTGCAGGTTTAAAAACACCATTGGTTTAAAATCAGGCTCTTGGTGTTGTTTCGTTTTAGAGGCATACGGTTTTTCCTGCGCTTATTGAGATTGTATACTTTACTTCTGGTGTGGGTGTTACAGTTACATAACTATTAACCCCAGCTATATCACAGTGTCTTTGAAATGACCCCCATTTTTGTTAGCTGACTGTTAAGTGTATGACCACCTAAAATGGGCCCTAGTTTAACATTATTTGTAGCCATTTCAGGGCTCCTTCCCAATGAAACTATCTTTCTATCGTAGTTCGTTCCAACTCCGTGGGAACTGGATGAACCAGATTAACAGATAAACATTTGTTTCCAACATACTCGTTTTATCACCAGCTTTTCTGTATTCAACTGAAAGCCATGAGGAGGCACGTTGATCTGATTGCTGCCGGTGTGTGTTACGAACTGTAGTTTATTCTTTCTTTAATTCTTTTATTTAAGCGACGTTTATGCTTTATTTTTTATTATGTACATGTTGATAAGAATTCAACGAACACGTCGGACAGACGTTTGAAACTGCTTTTCGTGGCAATTTTACGATTGCAGATATTTTTTTGTATCAACGTCTGTTTCTAGGCGGATTCTTGCCTCTGTTGATGAAATCGGAGAGAAAGTCGTTCTTTCTGGGCAAACATGCGCCTTTTGGAAATTGTTTCCAGTTTTTAACCTGTAAATGATAGGTTATCCAGATGGTTACAAGAAAGAAGAGTCTAATTGCAGGATTTCCCCTTCGCTGATGTTGCACGTGATTAGTTGCATATTACGCACCCTGTCCATCAAATTTTTCCTTGAGGTCGAGGAAATTTATTCTTTATTTTTTAATGATATTTAAAAAGTCCTGTTATAATATTAATATATGTAGCTTTTGGGTGTTAATGCTACGTAGATTAGTCAAACAGTCGTATCTAACGTGAATATATTAGGTATTTGAGTCTCTTAATCGAGCGCGAGTCGTGAGCCGAGTGTTCTGATGAGAATATACTGGGAAATGATACCCGGATTTTTTAAAACAATTTTTATTCAAAAGAAATGGAGGCAAAGCGCTAAAAGCATTAGATGCTCTCCATCCATACCTGGATATCAGCGCTCCTAAAATAGTTTACAAAATTACCGTGTGCCATACAACAATTGTCTATCAGACTACTAGCGCACCCTGTAGTCAGACAGTACTGGGGTACAGTGGATACTGGTACATAAGGAACTACTCTCAGTCTTGGTACATGGGCTAATATTAGATGCCATAACGTTTCCGCTATATAATCTGAACTCGCGAGCTAGACCGATTTCATTCTTAACTAGTCCTGTCAAAACAAATTGTAAGCTATTCGGGGTGCGCATTAGATCCAGCCGTTAAAAACATTTGCACGTACTTCGTAGGCGTATTCTTTTACATGTAACTAACCACATTTTGGCAGTAGAGTCGATTAAACAAAAATCGTCGCCGGGTAATTGGTTCACTTATGCATACGATACAGCCGTAGAGGAATACGAACACTTAGTTTTATATGATCCTTGATATTTCCGGTAACTGCCAGTGTTTTATGACTTTTATGGTAATGAATATTGCAGAAATATAGGAAAATGGGCCATTATATAAACAACATGAATGTATTGTGCAATCAGTGAATTTCGTGTTATTGTTTTTTTTTTCTGTAATTGGCTGAACACTATGCCGCAAAGACTAATCATCTGTGCCTGATATGAGTTCATTTCTGTGGCTGCTGTGTATTTTTAACGGGAGTTGGCGGCCATCTTGTAAAACCTGTAATACATATTATAACCACTAAAACGATCTTTCCCAATTTGATACCTACAGTTTATATTGAATTCAAAATTATTACTTTAAGTATTTGCATTAAAGACATCCATTTTAGGGAAAACGTAATGTGGTTGTTGGCGATTATTTTTGGATTCCCCAAACGGCACTAAAACGACATTAGACATTAAAAGTAACCCTATTAACTTATATCTACCGACAGTGCACACGTAGGCTTAAATAGGTATGGCCCATGAATCAATCCCCGTTGCATGGGAAGGTTCTTCTTCGTGGATATCGACGACCATCTTGTATCTTCAAGAACGAAAAGCTATCATTTGTGGAACTAATTTAGATTTATTTTAAGATCCAATAAGTCACCGTCTGGGGGGGGGGGGGAGAAAAGAAAGGAAAAAAGATTTTAAAGACGAATTTCACAGGAAACTTCATTCTACGGTGTGTTTTGATATATATGATTTATGATGGTGTTAAAGGTACTAGAAACAGCTAGAGTAAAACGTTTGTTCGTTGCCTTGATTATTTTGAAGTAATATTTACAAGTCATGTCGATTGCTTTTATGAAAGTTTTCATATGTTCAGGTAAGTTTTTCCATCCGCTATTAAGAGTGTGCGGAAAATGTTTTTTTTTTTTTTTTTTTTCTGTGAGAAATTAAATATGCTCAGGTAAGTTTTTCCAGTCGCTTCTGAGTGTGCGGTGCATAACATGCTACTTTTTCTCTTCAGATAATTCTTGGCAGTGTTTTGCCAAGTTTTTTTTTCGAATCGTTGAATACTTGCATTCTGCAGAACTAAAACAAGCAATTCTTTAAGATCTCTCTCTCTCTCTCTCTCTCTCTCTCTCTTTTTCCTTTTTTAGAGAGAGTCAAGCATCTTCCATGCAGTGTCGTTGCAAAAAATATATTGGACTGCAATATTTGCAGTACACGCTTTCAGTTATAATATTTTATGTTATGAAGTTATATTCTTCTTGAGAAAGTATGCATGACTTTCACCCATGTGTGACATATAATTATTACAGGTATTTCCAGGGTGACTTGGTTACACAGTAACAAGAAACAGAAAACATTTTGGTGAACAGAAGGGCAGAAAAATGGATCTTCTACTGCTGTGTATTGCAGTCGCTATCCCCGTCCTGGTACTGATTATATTCTTGCCTATGATTAAGAAGAAGGTAAGGAATGTGCCTTGTGATTTGCTCCAGTTTCTACGCCGTTCTATATACCCTTTCCTTACGTCACTTAACTTAATTACAGTGCATTAGGAATTAGGAAATTTCATGAATCCAGGTTAACAAATCTGTAGAATACAACACTTTATTTTAATTTGTTATTTTATTACGCAGCATTTTATCATTACAATTTGATTTTCATTTATATTCTTACTTAATTTGATATTTCATTTTATGTGGGCACACTGGAATACTATAAATAGTGTTTAAAAGGTGTGTGTGTGTGTGTGAGAGAGAGAGAGAGAGAGAGAGAGAGAGAGAAGGGGGGGGAAGCCCACTCCTTATCCCCAATGAAATACCAATATCAGAATTTGGAATTTTCCTGCATCATCACTGTAAAAACAGTTTGATGTCAGTAAAAGCGGCACAAGGTATAACTCCATACTACTGCACTTCGTCCACATTTGCCATCTTCAAGTTAAACTCTTGAAACAAGATTGTTCACTGTAAGTAGGCCCACTTCAGATAATGAGTCCTGTTTTGCTGAACACTAAATCATGAAGTTTGCCTGTGGAGTAAACGTGCTGCCACCCTGCCAGTGTATTTTTTTCATATGACTCATTTAAGAAACACTAGCACTTAAGTTATATGTATATATTAACGCTTAGACGATAAGTTAACCGTTGTTGCTGAAGGCATCTTTAGAACATTCATTCATCCATCATCATTTATTGACGTGTCATGTACACAGAATACCCAGCCTGTCTTAAATAAAAAATCTTAACAGTAAATTTTGCTAATTGCCTCAAAATATTTTCCCTTAAGTCTTCTATAGAAATGTCATTTTTATCAATTTTTGAATCTCCAACTTTTTATAAAATGTATATCTTACCTCTGTGTAAGCAGTGCAACGAAGTAAGAAATGACTCTAATCTTCTAATTCTTTTTTGCATACTTGGCATATTCTTCCTTTTAAAGGTGTATTTGTATACCGTCCAGTTTCTACATGCAAAGGCAAAATGCCCATTCGAAATTGAGTAAAAATTTATTTTCTTTTCTGTTTGAATATATGTGCAAATATTTTTCAGTTTTCAATTCTTTTTTAAATGTGGTATGTTCGAAGTTTAGGAAATTCCAAAATGTCTTTTTTCCATTTAATTTGGAGTGTTTCATAAAATAGTTTTTTAATGTATTCTATATCCACAATTTGTTTGTTCAAAAAATGGGTTTCCATATTACAGAATTTGAGTATCTCTCTTACCTCAGAGTACCAGTTTTTTCCCAATTTGTAATATTCTAAAAAAAAAAGCTGTTTGATAAGTCTTTCATTTTGGGCGAGTATTAGAACACTGAATTACAGACAAATTATGTAATATATTTCTTTCGTTATTTCTTTCGTTTTTTATCCAGATATATGTAGGCATTGTAGGCATTAAAGGTATGACCTAAGGTTCAATTGGCTTTTTGTTGTAATAATGTATAAAGGACTAAAAATAGTAAAAAAGTAATAAATGTAAAGAAAATAAAATGAATGACTGTGGCACTTCATGCCTGTTATGATAAAAAGTTGGCAAACGTTGCCATATCTGTTTATATGGTTACATACACCAGTTTACCTTTGTGTAATTGATATCATATAGTTAAACTGGCGTTGTTAAAGACACCCAATTGGCGGAAGACATTTATGTAGGACAAAAACTAATAATGATAATTTCTATTGAAATTTCAACACTTTCACTTAATCATCAAGGTGTACCTTGTGTAAAATCGTCAGAAGGTTTACGATCTATAAAGCTGTTTTTCTTGTTATGGATATATGGACTGGCGTATTCCACTCGTGGCGGTACAAAACTTGAAATAGGGTTGTAGATCGTAGTTTTTTTCATCATTTTTTAATTTCTTTTACCTTGGTGTTTAATGGAAAATAGCTGAGATTTTCTGGAACGTCCATTCAAGTAGTCATGCGTTTGCTTATTTTTTCAGATTTCTGACAGCGGCCCAACCGGCAACGGCATTCCAGGACTGAAGGCTAAGGACGCCAAGTAAGTACCCGGATGTGCAGATCGAGTAGAGCTATTTATAGCAGATTTTATTGGACTTGACGACGATGCCATAGCGCGATCGTTAAAGAATTGCATAAGTGGGCTATTTATAGTGTTGTGTATCGGAATGATGGAATGGTAACCTTTAACTGGAGTCAATTAGTGTTTGGGTTGGATTTCATTAAGTCACCCTCAGAATTACTTGTATAGATAGCTTCCACTGAATGAAGTGGAAAAAATCAGCTGATTTTGCCTCATCTTTATCAAAAACGAAGTAGCACTTAACATTATTTCTCATTTGAGTGCCCTTTTAATAAACGCTCGAACAAAAAAGATCGGAAACAACGTTATTTTGTAAATATAATTGTAAAAATGGATATGAGCTAAGGTCAATATTTTAACCACATATTGATGGATAATGCACCCATCATTCGTTACTTTTTATATACACAAGATTTCCCCCTTCATTATATAGTTTTTTTTTTAATTCCTGAAAAATAATTTCATATTTCCGAGCTTTATGGTGGAGTTTATATCATACCTGTAATGTCTACGAGAGCACGATCTCATTAAAATGCAGTGTAATGGCAGTTATTCTACCATTACGATATTTCTCTATGATCAAAGCTCGACTTCAAAAGGAAGGATTGAATTCCACATCCAGACGAAATGGCGCTTTAAAGTCTTTGGAGGTTTCATGTGGCTTTTCCTGTACCAGCAAAGTATTCTGGGTATATAAACCAACAGAATGTAGCACAAGCCTTTATTTCAGTGCTCATAATTTATGTTTCAATGGCGAGCGATTGGTGGCACCACGACACGCCCCCCCCCCCCCCCTCAAAAAAGGAAACAAAGAAAGGTGCTATATTGTTTCCTGTTAAAGATGAGGTTAAACCTGCTGATTCCTGGTGCCATGAATTTTCTTAAATGTTTTTAATTTTTTGTTTCAATTGTTCAGTTTCGGTTGATCACTCCGATGAAATTATTGCCGAGGACGTATAAACTTTTGGACCAAGATTTTAATCTGCTGTTACCGAATATGAATTGGAAATAGCCTTATTAGAGTTTACAAAAATACACCTGTTGCACAACAAGAAAGACGTTGAAAATCTGTCAGTCCAACGTTCTGAACTAAGTAGACATCTAAGACAGTTAAGTAGACCAAATTTAGGTAGTAAAAGTCCAGTTCAATTATCGGGCTAAGGCAAGTCGGTGTAACAATCCCTTGAGGCTGCGGTACTTCCTCTAACATGAACAACTTAATCTATGAGTTATTTTCTTTCAGACATGGGAACCTAGAACTGGTCACAAAACACGGCAGTCTCCATGAGTTCCTTATGTGGCTACACCAGCAGTATGGACCCATAGCAAAGTTCTGGTTTGGAGAACAAATGGTAGTCAGCATTGCCTCCCCTCAACTGTTCAAAGAGAACTCTCGTGTTTTTGATAGGCCTCGTGAGTAAATACAAACATATATCTTTTTTCAATGTAGCAAATTTTGGGTTTTAAGAATGATCGAGGACCTTGTCTTGTCTAGTCAGCTGTTTGACGTACTCTAATGTGTATTTAACATAAGACTGAACAAACAGGCAGATTCAGTCCTTAAAGTAAACAAACAAACAAACAAACAAACAAAAATTGTTTCTAATTTACATGTGTTAGGCTCTCTCTTCGTATGTAAGTCAATCTATGTACTGACTTTTAGAACTTAGCTAAGCTTATACACCTGTCATATTTTATTCATGTGATGGTGCATCATTTTCAGTTCAAAAGTTAAAAACTTCGGTCGAGGCGTTCTGGATATTCCTTGCAAATGACATTCAATGCGTGTTTGACAAGCCAAATAATGTTTTTGTTTTCTGTACATATCTGTAATTTTTCTCTTATCGCCGAAATATATCATATCCAAAGCCGCTTGGAAAAAAATTTGTTCTATAAGTCCGTTTTCGAATTTTGAATACTTAATATTTACCATCACGAGTGACTCAATGAACTTGTAACTAAAAATAAGAGCTTTCTGACCGTAGTTCTTTGAACGGTTTTTTTAAATGATAAAGTTATACCTTGGTATTTAGAGCAACTTTCCGGAGTTCCCAGGGAAAACACATATTATAATAATAATAATAATAATTTTATTGAGCATTAAAATGTGTACGTTTACATTTTACAAGCTCTCTAAACTACAGTTTTACATAAATTGTAATTGTATACACTTAAATTTTGAAAGAAAAAATGATGCGTTCATTCTGTAAAGAACCTAACAGCACAACCAGCTTATTTTATTACCTTACATTAATCTTGACTTTTTTACTCGAGCTTGATTTCATCTTATCTGTTTTAGCTATACTGTTCAAGTTGTTCGAGCCGTTGATAACTGAAAACTCTATTCAGTATGCTAATAAAGAGGACGGGAGGTGGAGGAGAAATACTTACGATCCCTGCTATAGCCACGAACACGTGATGGGATACATAACTATATTTCAAAGGGTAATATATTTTCATTTACTTAACAATCTTGATTAATAAGATATAAAGACGAGGCATATTCCTTGGATACCAGGTTGTCTCTCAGCTGAGTTCAGTCTCTTACTGTACACGTTGAAAAAATAAATACTTGAAAAATGCCACATCGCTTAGATAATTTTCCATTTTCAACTGTATAAAATATACTTTATTAATTTATGACGTTCGTATTTTTGCATCTGGTCAGTACTGGTAATTATTGTTTTAACAATTAATTAAAATTGAAATTGGCAATCTACTACTATATCATTCCCTCTATTGATCCATGAGAGTTAAGAGCATTTCATTTGGTGATTGGGAACCGTTTCAAAGCTCTTTTCTGTTTTTCATATTTTAGAAGTGGATGAAGTCTTATTGCCTGTTTTCTTACTATCATTGTCATTATCATTACCATTATCATTATAATTATTTGAAAAAGACAATCATCTCTTATATTTCGTACAATTAAATGAATTATTGTCATTTTATTGTTTTTTTTTTATAATTTCAGCTTGCCGAGGAATTGGTGGAGAAATGGTCACATATACCACGTGATGAACACGTCCCTTGCCGCCAGGAGGCGTTCGTGTTTGCGCTTAAAGCAATAACCCAGAGTTCTCTTGGGGATTTCTTTTTGGAAGAGGAACAGGTTGTCAAGTTCTGGAAATCATACGATATAGTAAGTATGTGATAAGGTTGTGTCTTTGCGCAACTGTCCTGTCGTTATGTGAACTTCAGACATACAATGTTGTATCTGTGTTGTATCTTCGCAATTATATGTTTATGCCCCCCCCCCTTCATGCAGACAAGTACAGCTACTCAGTATGTAGTTAAGATTCAACATAGCAGAGCAAATCAAATGATGCCCCTGACAGTAGACTCTACTTCGTGCGGACATTTTGGAAACGAACAAAAATTCAACTTACGCCAAGATTCGAGTAATACTCTATAAGGCAAAATTGATCAAATAAGTTTTAGCTTATAAACCATAAAAATTTGCTCCACAAGATTTTGTTCTTGAGAAACAATTATTCAACGAATGGCTGATTGTGTATATGTGATGGCTACAGCATAGAATGGAGATTGCTAATACGAGAGCATGTAGCCATATTTTTAATAAACGTAATATATCTTCTCTTCCCTATTTTGTCAGTGTTGGTACGACATGGAAGAGAGGCTTGGAGGCGATATACCCCAACCTGGGAGTGAGCGTGAAAAGAAATTTAATGATGGTGAGGATCATTAATAAAATACCAAAAAAAAGGAAATTATTCGAACATGTCTTACTTGCCTGTGGTTACTAAATTCAAATATGACAAGGCTCGACCTTGTGTGTTGCAAGCTGTCTTCAACTTACTTTGCTTAAATAATTTAATGTTCAGCGGTATAATTTGTTTTGTAATAGATGCTTCGTTATACATGTACAGAGTTCTTTCTTCTATAAGTTTAGTACGCAAAAGCGACCACCAAAAAATTCCAAATTTAAAAATACATTTTAAATCAATAATGTATTTTTCTGCAGTTTATTAGCACACGACTTATAATAGCTTCTGTAATGAATTTCCATTCCTAGCGAAAAAATACATGTACGACACAATTGCCGCAGCAATCGAAGTTAGGCGGAGACACCCGAACACCGCGAACCGAGAAATGCTTGTTGACGTCATGATTGAGAACAATATTGATGATGACGTCATGCAGAGCGACTTGTTGACCAGCATTATCGGTGGATTTCACACGTCGGGAAATTGTATGTATGAGAAAGGGTCCGATTTATCTAATATCGTGATAACACAGAAGAGAAATTAAATAACTCTAGAACTTACTTGTAACTGTACTAGTAATATATAACTTGTAACATATGTTGCAATGAACTACCAATCCCTGGTTTGGGTATAAATGTTATGCTATCTATATACTTTAAAAATCAAAAAAACATTTTGTCGTTCTCAGTAAATTTCAATGTGCACATATTCTTTTTGTGATGGTCTATATAGCTCTAAATTTTTATATTATAGAATGTGAATATGCACTAATGTGTACATTATAATATACTGTTTTGCTTGTTTCAGTATTGGTATGGACCCTCCATTTCATCTCACTTTACCCCGAAGTTCAAGAGAAAATGTTCCAAGAAGTGAGCACCGTGTTGGGTGACACAGGCAAGGTCACACCGGATAACGTTGCGCAGTTGGTGTAGGTATAACAACGGGTCCATTATATTAAACGTGACCACACTTGCACGGTGAACTTTCATCACAACACTAAGTGTCGTTGCCTCTTGATCGTTGCCCAAGAGTGAAAGTCAGTGAATAGATTAATTCGTGGACCAAAAAAAAAATATTTAAAAAATGACATGATTATTATTATTATTTTAAAAGGAAAAGTATCTCAGAATCTTTGCACTGATTAAAAAGATTCGTGAAATGTGATATTGACTTCTAGTCTCTTCACTTCTCATAACCTTAGTCAACGTTGAGGCAATTGCCACGTCTAGAATTTCTCGTGATTTTTTCTTAAAAACCTACCCCCATGGCTGCACTCCGGACTTTAAAATGAGTGGTTTGCCTCATGTTTCAGGTACATCCGTCAGGTAATGGACGAGACGCTGCGCGTGGCGGTGGTTGCACCTTTCGCTGCTCGCTTTGACGACGAAAAAGACGTCACACTGGGAGGTCACGTTATACCGGCTGGGGTAAGTGGAATGACGTCATTGTTTTATTCTTAGGTGTCTTATCTCAGATTTTTTGCTAAACAACAGCTCAAAAAATTGAATTTAGCCAACCTTATACAGTGCATGTATTAGGCTAAAATTCCGAGCAATCGGCTTAAGTATTAGCCAAGAAAAAAAAAGCACTCCTTTAGATCAATTTTGGAAACACAGCTTAGTAAGCTAGATCTTAATATGCTAGGGTTTTAGTTCAAAAACTGTCTTTAGATTTTTGTGAAGCGAGAGCTTGTTCTGAAGTCTGTATAATCAATTTGTCGGGAGTTTTAGATAAATGTCTTTAAATTACAGTACCAGTCAACGTAACTGTTGTGATGATGTTGTTCACACAGAGAAAGTAAATTATTTGTTTCCTGTTATTACAGACCCCAGTCAATTATAGACTTTTATATACCAAAATTTTTATTTTCCTAGAAATGTTATGACTTTTTCCTTTATGATCAAGGTATACCATTTAGATAATTATTTATAAGAAAGTATGTATGTCTTTGACATGATCAACATTCCAAAGGACTGAAAATGGACTTTGCTAAAACCTTTAATTTAATTATAAACTTTGCGTGAGAATCGTGTACAATGTCATACAGGTTATTTATAATTGATTCTGGCTTTCAGACTCCCGTTATTCATGCTCTGGGTGTTGAATCGAATGACCCAGCACTGTGGCCGAATCCAAAGAAGTGAGTTTATTTTTTATTTGTATTGTTCTATATCATTATTATTTTTACGCCCAGTGTGCACGTTGCTGCTAGAAGGGGAAGAGAGTTACCCCCACACAACCAGGAAGCCGTAAAGCGACTGCTGTACAAACATAAGTTTAATTCTGTTCCATTGTCTATTTCTACTTTCTATAACTTCACCTATTTTAGATTGAAGTTAAATAACAATTTACTCTTTCTAGGTTTGACCCAGACCGCTTCAGTCCTGAAAATGTGGCCGAGAGGCAACCCTACTCCTTCCAACCGTTCGGTTTTGCCGGCAAGCGCAAGTGCCCCGGATACCGCTTTTCCTACGTGGAGATCGCCACCGCGTTGGCGAACATTCTGCGTAGATTTCAGGTAATTTGACTGTCATCGGTCTTACCCGGTAATGGTGCTCACAGTAACTGAAGGTCCTACATTATCTTAATGGAACAAATGCTTTTTATTCTACTATAATACGTCGTTCGATCAAAGGACTCTATTTCGGCTTTTTCAAAATTATATTTTCAAAATTTCAAAATTATACTAATAGGCCTTTTTGACTCACAGTTACCACGAATAAAATTGAAATTAAGCAAATAAGCAGTCTCTCTTTATAATAATGATAATAATTCTTTATTGGTTCGAGTGCAGTAAAAATACAGGCTGTGACCTACGACAAATAAAATACATGAAATACATTAAAACAATTACAATTACAATACGTACATTACACAATGAGAATTTATAGCTATTTATATATGCTAATTTTCTTATTTTACACATTTTCATATTTTATATCAGTGAGTAGTCGGTCACTATGTTTGGATTTTTTGTTTGTATTCTAGATCCATGAGGTAGAAGGTCAGACAATTAAGGCGAAGTACGGTCTTGTGGGTACCCCTGATGGAGAAGTGTGGATAACCCTCAGTGAGAGATCCGCCGAAAACAAAGAGGAATAGCCTGCTTGAAAAGATGAAAAAAGATTATATCGTTGTTAAGTATTCGAACAGGTTACAAGATTTGAAAAGTTTCCACTGCAAATTACTATGCTGAGACGTCTGCGTGGAACACCAAAGTTGACATTTTCTGGAAAGTTTCTATCTTCTTCATGTAACAAACCATTTTCACAGACTTTCAGGTTTAATACATGTAGTAAACGTCTTATGCCGAAACGTATTTTAAAATGGTTTGGTCAACGATGACATTCATAGAATATTCAGAAATGAGTTGCATAATCAATGTGCGTCGTATTTATATTAAGCAGAAGGTTGCGAGGTTTGCATGTTAGAATCGCCTGTATCTTTTGCGGAATTGCCAAAGATGCTGCGTGCATTTTGGCATATTTATCGCTTGGTTAATTGTTAAACTTTGTTTTTACTTCATTATGTATTGTTGATAACTTGACAAGCAAGAAGCTCCGCTCATTGTTGAGAATTAGCTGAGCGCTCCATTCATATCAAAATGTGGTGTTCTTCTCTGCAGAATCGCTCTTCGTTCAAGTGTGTGTGTGTGTGTGTGTGTGTGTGTGTGTGTGTGTTTGAGAGAGAGAGCGAGAGAGAGTGTGTGTGTGGGAGAGAGAGAGAGAGAGAGAGAGAGGGAGGGAGGGAGAGGGTGTGTGTGAAAGAGAGACAGATGGAGAGAGAGAATGAAAGAGAGGGCGAGAGTGTATGTGTGTGAAAGAGAGAAAGAAAGAGAGACAGACAGAGAGACAGACAGAGTGAGAGAGGCAGGGAGAAAGAGAATGAAAGAGACGGGGAGAGAGTGTATGAGTGCGTATGTGTGTGTGTGTATGCGTGAGAGAGAGAGAGAGAGTTGTATGGAGGAGTGAGGGAGAAAAAGAGAAGAGTGTCTCATAAAACAGAGAATCCGGTGGACATGAATATCGAAGTGCTTTGATATACTCAAGCCACTCAGCATAGGAAAGCCCTTTAGTAAACAGAGTGCAATGTTTTTCATCAAATCTTTCATATCGGGATATATATTATTGTTTTATTATTGTATATTATGCAAGCCAATGTTGATACTTGGTAGTTTTAATCAGCATTTACATGTTAATCGAACTTTAAAAAAAGACTATAAATGTCTTTAAATGTGTGTTAGTGCTGTCGCTCACTAAGGAAAAGTGTTTGCTCAAAGTTATGTAGTAGCAGAACAGTAGAATTAGTTGTTGTAGGTTGTAGTAAAATTGTTATACGATAATCTAAGACCAAACATGGTTATAGTTAAAAGGTAAGAAAACGTACGGTGTTTCAAATATTTTCGCTCATTTCTATATCGTTGAAAAAGCTACTACTGTAATTATATCATGACCCGCTGTCTGACATGATAATGAGCTTTGAGTTATTTTTGCGTGGTGCTAAAAGAAAGAAATCACGCGCGTTATTTCAGCGAGTGCACCATATATGAATGGTGTTTATGTATGGTTAACTGAATGATGAGTAAACGTGGTGAACTTTCGGTCATTTTTTCTTCTGTATGTTAATTAAATTATCCACTTTGTTACTAAGATTATTATAGTTTGCTTTTCAAGCAAATAGATTCTGGGTTTTGATTGGTTTGTATAAGTGGAAGTTACCATTTACTTTAAGATTCCACATAGAATAAAAATATATGAAATTCAAATGATAAAACGATTTGTTTCTAACTCCAATTTGCAGTCAAGATGTTTTAAGTTCTTGTTTATATGAATAATAACTTCTCAAAATTAATGCATATCACGTTGCAAAGAAGTCCCCTCAACCTTCAGACTACTGTAGTACTCCTTTGCAGTAGAGAAGACAGTTACACAAAATTTCTTTTCTGTTTTATATTCAGTGGCGGATTTAGGAACCCGAAACCCTCGCCAAGGGGGAGGGGGGTCGGCTTGGCATCTGCAGACCCGGAGGGGGCCCTAAAATATGGATCCGCCCCTGATATTGCTAGAAAAAGTGCGTGAACAAAACGCAAGGCTTCTTTGCTTGAGTATGTGCAATATTACTTAATATCCGTTAGAGCTCATTGTCAGCCTAACAAAATAAATATGATTTGCACTTTTATAAGTCGAAACTTTTAAGAGCCAATACAAATACTCTTTGTTATAAGCAATCTCTTTAATTTCAGATGTGCGTGTATCCATGTTCATTTGTCATTAGGAATCTGGAAAAAAATTGGGTTATTACACATTCGCATTTACTTCTCCGGACATTTATTGTCAACAAAATCTCTAAAAACAATCTCCTAAAATCCCGATTGCAACAGAGGGGATCAACCATTTTTCGTGCAGATGGCGCTATAGTACGGTCCGGGTTGTCAAACATGGTAAAAACTACTCAGATGTAAGTGCTGGACCATAGAAAGGGTAGGCAGTGACCGACATAATGTTGTTTCATTTAGGGGTGGGTTAGGATCTGGTATTTATTTCCATCTGTTGTTAATTCGGCATTTATTTCAAATATGTTTAACACATGTGGGTTTTAATCATGGTAAATTGTAAATTTAATGTCACCTGTCAGGTAATGGGAGTTGTTGAATTGAAAAAAGGGGCTAATTTCATCCTGCCTCGTCCCCCTATGAATCTAGTTGAACTTACCTTCTAGAAAGAGATGTCACTTCTTCAGTTCAGAGTGACCAGGGAGTGGATGCAAGGTGGCCTTGATACTAAGTATACGAATATTTCAAATTCAACCGATTTGGTAGAACCTTTTGCGATATTAATGTCAGATATTGGATGGTAACGTACACGTAAATGTAGTTGTTGTTCTCTTTTTTAGAAGTATGTAGATGCCTGCATGTTTTTAGGAAATTTTCGGTAAGCTTATGGTCACTCCCAGTAATTTCTCGTTCGTAGGACTGTGTTTCTTCAATCACTTTCTCTTTTCTTCACTTCCAGTGAAAAGTTGCAGTTTCGATCCATTTAAAATATTTTGAAATCTGTTGGTGGAAACATAAGATGCAGTAAAATAGTCAAGAACGGGAAAATGCTGTTGAATGGCCACTGAAATCATAGCTGCCGCCATGTGCTTATTCAATTAAGGGTTGGTGCTTGAATTAAACAACACGTGGGGTATTGTCATAATTTTTGGCACAATTCACATGAAATGTTATAATATTTCAATTCATTAAGATATTAGAACTGAGTTATAGGTGGCCCGTTTTCTGTGATAAGGTCAATCCTTAAAGGCATACCTGTAGAGGGCGAATTAATGTGGGGAATATATTTCCATCGTGCTTTGATTGCTCTTTTGATACGTTTCTAACTGACGACCAATGTCAATACCACCCTGTTGATTCAAAACGCTCTGTAAAAGGGGTTTAACATTATTCTTAATTTATCTGAAATCACGATTTTTGAAACACTTTACAAAATAATATTGGCAATTTGAATCGTGGCATATGTAGGGCTGTACGGTCATAAATAACGTAGCTTAATATTTTGATTAAGAAATCTACTGGTATGCCTTTAAAGATGTTGAATCATGGTTTCTTAGTGGACCTCCGTGGCATTTATTAAATGGTGCCATTTGAGATATTATTCTGCAAGACAGCAAGGGGCAACTTACGTTCAGAATAAAAATGTGAAAAATTGAAATACCGTCTTGCTCGTCCCGAAATCGTTTAAGACCCCATTTGATTGGCGTATCCTAAATCAAAAACAAGCACACAAAGAAGCAACTTGAAAAGTCATCATGAAGTTGCAAAGTTTCCTTAAATATTCATGAAAAAATTTGTGCCTGTAGTTTTAAAATTTCTAGCCTCAATCTAGATATTCAATGAATGAGAAGTTGACAAAATTACCTAAAGTGCTTAATTTTTACCAATGTCCATTCTAATTTCAAACTTACGAATATTCTATTTGCCAATTTTACCCAGGCATATAAAAAAACTTCAAATTTTGAGTTCACGTTAGACCTTTGTTTTAACTTTTCTTAGAAATTCCATCGTTTTCTCTTCGACCAAAGCAATTTAGATCGTTAAGAAAATTAGCCCGATTTCGAGTTCAAAATTTCTAGATTTTCCGGCACATATGAAATTCAGTACGAGTGACCCAAAATATCTTTGCTATGTAAAGATCTAACGCTTATATCGTGCCTAATATAACGATTTTTATACTTTAACTACTCAAATAAAAAAAGGCATCTCATATGTTTCAATTTGAATTTTTGCTGTCTTGTCGAATAAAATATAATTTCACGGAACACAATATGCCGTTTTGTTTTGCAATTGAAGTGTTTGTTTTCATATTTTTTATCTCTGTTTGTTCAACTTTCCTGAACTGTAAAAGCCAACTTGTCGAATAAAAAGCTACAAAAACCCATTTTCCTCTCTATGAAGTACATGTTGTTGATAGAATGTTACGGTACGTAAGGTTTCATTGAATAATACAATTGTCAAATTTGACATCTATTTGTTAAGTAAAGATGAAGGGACTAGTCATGCGATTAAAAGGTGTACCATTTTCCAAAATCTTCTGTTCTTTGACATTTTCCTGGAATCAGAAACTTTCATACTATCGACCAGTGAATGCAAAAATGGTTTATTGGCTCGCATTTTCGGCTCATTAAAGTGCAGAAGTCGCAAAACATTTGTTACTATATTTTGATGAATGAAAAATGAAGTAATATAATTCGTATGAGTAATAATATGAGTAATATCATGATCTGTCCCTTTATCTTTTTTACGCAGATTTGGTACTTGATGGCTGTATATGTTGCATATGGTTTTTCAGTAATGTTTGTGTAATGGAAATTTTCAAATTTTCTAATCCACATTGCATTCTAATGTAACTTTTTATAATATATTCAATCACTGTCAAATGCTCAGAAAGACTTATGACAATTTTGGACAAAATCTGGGAGAGCAGTTCTGTTTTTCTGCCAGTCATCAACTACCGTTTATTTGAAACATCGCATTATACATATATTACAAATATACTGTTTACTGAAGTGATCTTTATTATATCTTATCGTTAAAAAGATAGAAAAAAACACTGGCGGCTCTTGAATATTTTTAAGGGGTAACAATACGAAACTCTTGGCCATTTGTAGCATTGAAGGGATTTGATTGTGCGAATTGAGAGTGGGTATCTTTCAAATTTTTTAAAAATTTTCTTATTATAATTTTGAGGGAGGGATATAAGATCCGTCTTTGTTTTTTAAAGGACAATATTGTAAAAATGTAATTGCTTTCTAAATACTTTGTTCATAATGCTTAAGATCAAATTTAAGACAAGGTGATACTTGTAATTTATTTTGTCCAATTGTATAAATATAAAGGTTGTATTTTCATAAGTTTGAGTGAAATGTTATGCAGATATCAATTCTCTTTTTCTTGCAAACTCGAATATTCACAATTTGTGGTGATTAATATCTTTTTGTAGTTTTGTAAATATTATATACAAATAGAAATTTGTTTTTCTGTTAATAAAATCTTTCCTAACATACACAATATATCTTTGTGTTTTTATTTAGCTTCCTTATGGGCGAGTTCCATTCGGTTCGGGTACTTTCGGTAATTGGTATAAATTTGACTACAAGGAGTATAAGAATTTCCGGTTGGTTACTATAAAAGAAAAGTCTACCAGGGGTGGGTGGGTGGGAACACTTAGAGGAGTGGACAGCACGCGAGACTCGGACACAGCAACACCAGGTTCAAAACCTGGCGCTTCTGGGTCCCAGCAAATTACCTTTTGCCAAAAAAATCCAAATAATAAGATTAAACTGCTACATTTTGGACTCACGATCGCAATATTGCAAGTTGAGTCGGTGGCTCAATAGGTAAGGCGTCGAACGCGGAAGCGCGGGTTCCCGAGTTCGAGTCGAGCTGTGGAAAATATAGAACAAGTGAAATACAAGAATATTTATTTTAATTTTTGAAACAAAATATAACATATACAGTTCCTATTGCCAGAGAAAGTTTAAGCAAATAAAAAAAGATTTTTCTCAAGTACAAATGGTTTTGTAACATGATGCAGTTTAAAACTCCAGGCCAAGTTAAAAAATGCCAAAGATAATTATGCATTTTGAAAATTGCAGCTGAAATGATTTTCTGCTTTGACTAATATATAAAAGGTCAGGAATATATAATGATCCGCCAAAAAACTTTTAAAATTTTGACCAGAACCAACAGACAAACTGAATATAAAATATTGAATACTGAAATCCAAATCAAATTATAATTTGGAATTTTCGTTGAAAGTGTTTATGTCATTTCTTTGATGAAAATTTTGTCCAAATTAAGCGATGAGAAAAATATCCAAAATTCAAAATTCAAAATGCATATGATCTCATTTCCGTGTTTCCCAGACAAGCACACCTTGTTCTGCATGTATGTCGTTTTGATGGCAATCCCAAAAGTAAGATTCGTTATTTTGCTCATTGATTAATGTAGCTCATGATATGCATCATTTTGTTTTCACATTAAATCCTAGAATAGGTACTTGATAGGACAATATTGCATGAAACTAAAATTTTTAACAGTGTGCCAATCTGGTACGACAAGGACATGGTCAGTTTACAAGATTATCAAAGTCAAAGCCATTTATATTATACAAATAAAACTGTTACGCAAAAATCCTTTTACTTGGAAAAACTTCACACATTCATTCAGACAGTGCTAACAGACTCACCTTGGTTTGCGGTTTTCTCTGAGCAGCAGACAATTAGCCCCAAAATAAAATTTAGTAAGTACTGCTAGTATTTTCAGACATAGAAAACTAGCTGTGAAATTCTGTTCAAGTTGGCGAGTCGAAAATTTCAAACTAATGAATGTAAACATTGTGATAGGATTTAGATTTCTGTGCATTTGATTAAAGATACAAGGTACTATCATAAAATTTGTAGAAGTTAGAAAAAGTTTGTAAAGGTTTATTTTGTAAAAGTACTATTAACTCGTTTCTCGTCTCCTTTGGAAAAGTTGGTCGCCAAAATGCCATCGACTCGTTAACCAAATATTCTATTTGTTTTCAACGCATAAGAAATTAATTTGATTTTGAGAAAGAATTTTCAAACGTCAAAGGTTCTTACTGCAAAAACAAATGATGATTTTGAGATAAATCAAAATATCCCGACCCTGGTTTCATTTTCCTAAAGCAAAAATGTAGTACCCTTCCAGCATTAAAAATAAGGGCCTGTCAGAAACTGATCAGAAACACAAAATCAAAACACCGAAAACCAAAGCAAGTTTATTCTTAGCATGCATCACAATCGTATATTTGTCTGTAAGTGTGAGCAATTCTGCAAAAATGTTGGTACGTGTCAGCTTCTCAATACTAATTTTTGAAGATTTTTTTAGAACAAGTCAACAAGTAATTAAGTTTATGAAAATTTACACCTCATTCTCTCCTTCAACAAAACGCACAAAATTTGCATCTCGGAAATTGGACGTTTGATGGGGTTGCGACAACGTATTTTTCTTCCCAAACATCAACTTTACCAAAATGTTTATATTTTATATTATATTTAAAAACACCTCTACAAATGCAGAACTAAGTGCATTATTGCAGATTTGCGCACACACAGCATTCTTAGGTCAGACAAAAATTTGATGACTTCTGAAACGAGCGGGACCAACAATACTTTTGAGGAAATAAATTTCTCGCGCTCATTCTTTTCGAGTGATGTGAGTGAATTTTTTATGAAAAGACTGATATTAACTTTGGTTTGGCAGATGGGATTTTTTTCTGAAAAGATTGGCCCTAAAATTTAACTACTATTTAAACACCACATGTTTATAAAGCAAAAAATATATAATTTCAATCATCCAACCCTGTCCACAAAAAGTCGACGCTTGTAAACCAGTCATCAATTTTGTCTGGCCTGATCTTCAAATAGATTTTGATGTTAAAAAGATAATTATCAAATAAGAACTCCAAAAGTATCACTTCTAGGCTTTTCAAAAACTGATTTTAACCGCTCCAGCCCAAAATGTATTAAACATTAAAGTAAAAAATACCACGAACGGTAGGAGTTCTATACAATGAATAGGTACCACATGTATCTACTCTAGTATTTATACCAGCAAAATGCAGGGTTGACGTTTGGCACACATAAAGCATCAATTTCTTTAATTTTTTCATGGTATTCACACGTTTCATTAATCAAATGCGTTACTTTGTATTTCATTTGACTCTCCCTTTTTTCTAAAATATTACAACCCAAAGTAAATGCTGTATCAAATGACAAAAATTGATATTAAATTCCATATTAAATGTCAACCCTGCAAATTATCTGGAAGACAAACTTCGACAAGCAGTACATTCTTCACTATCGAACACGAATGTGTTTTCTTTGGCTGAGGACGCATCCAATCTCCAATCTTTTTGAAGTCGGTAGTTAACGGTTACTGAAATTAAAAGTAAGAAGAGTTTAAAAAAAAGATATTATACATTTGAAAAAAGGATGTGGTTTACAAAAAAATTAACAACATCTAAGGGAAAATATTTTACTGGCAGTACCTTTTCACCGTCAAATCTGGGGGAAAAGGGGCACAAGGATGAAATAATTTGTCTTGCTTCTCCGAGTATATAAAACAGTAGAAAACAGCAATTTTCAATTTTTATGGCAAAGGTTTGAGTTTTTTGCTTTTTCTATATTCGTTCTTTTTTTTTTTTTTTTTTTTTTTTGGGGGGGGGGGGAGGGGGACGTTGAGTAGTATTACATACGCGATATACTTAAGGTAGACCTTCTTCAATCAAATTCTTCACACACGGATTTTAACACAGACTGTTATATCATGTTACAGATGATATCATGTGTAAATATAATCACGAGTATCGCAGTCTTGGAAGTGACTTGTATCTACTCATTAACAAGCAAATATTAAGTTGCTTTCTTTCTTGGTAATTCTAATTCTAATTCTGTAGGTAACGTTCGTTGACAGTTAACGTAAATAATCATGATATTTCCAATACTTAAAAAGATGCAAAGTGCCGTCGTCAGAATTTAAAAATGTGTGAATAAGAAGCTACCAATGTAGGTTAACGTACATGTACCTGCCTGTTCCTTGTACATTATGTAAGACGTAAGACGCATTCAGAAAAGGCCCTTTTTCCTTTTACAGCAAATTCGTTCACTCTGAAAAAGAAACAAATAATAATATAAATATAAATAATAATAATAATTTAAACTCCAAACTGACTATGAATCTTGAGTGAAAGAATCATACGCACCAGCCAAATACAAGCAAGCAGGTAAAACTGCGTATATTGCTAATGATAAAAATGCACCATTCTGGACAAATACTGTCAACGCTAAATAAGCAATGTTACATAGGCATATGTTACATCATCTATGCAGTACTCACTACAAACTGTTGCCGTTTTCAGCGCCAAATTTTCAACCCACATGTGGAAAATGTAGCAACGTGGCATGAGACATCTTCCTCTTCCATCTTCTACTGACCTTGGTTCTACCTGAACACCTGTCACCAAAATGCTCACCTGATTTGCATAACAAAATATAGTTCACCTATTCTCCTTTTGGGAGCCTCGATTTAGATCTTAGTCTTTCTCTCACAGTACATATGATACGAATCACAAGTCTATTGAATTCTCACCGAGAAAAGTCGTTCAGATTAGCTGAAACTGCAATCATAGTGTCGAATACCCGACATATTAAGAGTTTAGCAATAATTCTTTTTGGTCGCATGAATAAAATCAATGGGACTCAATGGGATTGAGTCACAAAAATACAAGGTGAAAAAAGTTAGATTTTTTTAATGTTACATAGATAATTCAACTGAGTTATTAATAAGAAAACAAAAAGTTTGGATCTACTAGTAGTTAGTACACAGTGAGCATCAAACACTAACATCAAACAGGCTTAGTTTAGAAAAAAAACTTTGACTCGATGAATGTTTTTAGTATCATTAGTTAAAGTGGTCCAAATATGTATCAAGCACTTCTGCTGTAGGCCCATCATCATTTTAAGTTGACTTTGCAAAGTGGGTTAAATAATTTAAACCAAGCTTTGCTCAAGAACTTAAGATTTTTTCTAAAACAGGCTGTTGTCGAAATGGGTTGTACGAAATCAGTCTACTTAACTTGAATGGAATCAAGACTCGATCTACTCAGAAGCTGACCAAGAACTCTGAAGTGCATATAGTATTTTTCAGGTTACTGTTTGTAGCAACTGAAAATCTTTATTTTCACTAGGATGAAAAATGCACAAATTTATCATCAACTAATAACGCAAACACGAGTGGCCTACCCTGACAAAAAAATAAATAAATAAATAAAAATAAATAAACCATATGCGATTGCTAACCTTTGTACATAATGAACAAAAAGATGAAATTCTCATCTCAATATATGCATAATATAAATATAAGGCAATTTTCTTTGTATAAGAAATAACTAAATGAATATAAACATGTTATTACCTAAGAAACATTTCATGAAAATCTACAGCCTAAATTTGACCTGAAAGTATTGAATAAATATCAACATTTCTACTTTCCCTATTTGAAAGACACCTAACATGAACATTTCCAGTCTGAGTTTAACTTCCCACTTTTATCATTTTACTGAATAAAAAGTACCAATAATGTTAACATTTTCAACTTCCCAAGTACACATAACATGAACATTTTTAATCTAAATTCAAATTACACAGCTTTTTTGCTTTACTCTTTCAAATGAAAATCTTAAAACTTTTGCCATTAAGAGAACAAATTTGTAAGAGAAACCATGCTATGTCTTAAAATGTGACAATTAGGCCTGACAATATTGACAAGTTGGTTAAGGAGTGGTTTCTCTCTGTTAGTGGGGTCAGCGGACACATTTTATTTTTTAAATAATATATAACGTCTTCTTCTTTTCATTTTTTGGAGGAGCGGGTGGGGGGGGGTGGGGGTGGGGGAAGAAATTGTTAAAACAACAGCATTAAGATTTTTTATGTGGCCAGCTTTAATTTTCTGAAAATCAACAAACCAACACCCAATGCATTTTTTACATTAAAAAATGAAATTTAAAATCCCCCCCCCCCCAAAAAAAAAAAAAAAAAACAGGGACAGGCATTCTTGTAAACCAACTTATCAATTTTATTTGGCCTGTTCACTGCAAGTTAACAGCTTGTTAATTCATTGCTTATCCTAACCTTCTTAACTGGCAATAAAATAAATATGGTTGTTGTACTGTAAATAAATAAAATACTAAAGGCAAAACAGTAATGGAATTAACAAAATCTATAACTGCTTTATTATGTCAATCAGCATATGTGGTTAAATTATTTATACATTGTTCAACAAAGAACAAGCAGGCCCAGATTTCAAGACCTTTTTCATGTTTCTAAAAAGATAAATAAAACTTGAAGAAGCTGCATTTAAACATGCAACAAGGAAGTTTTATAAGCATAGCTGTGTCATCAAAATGAATTTGACTCGTGTTTATATGCATATATAGCATCAATGGGAATGCGTCCTTTCACGATCAGTTGACTACCTTTAACACTGTGTATCTGTACAAACATGATTTTGATCCTGCTACTAATGACTTGAAAAACAGAAGTGATACAGTCTGTTCTTTAATTATTCACTTAGCTAAGCTTCGTTTTTTTATGTATTTTATCAGTGGTTTTGAATGTGAAAGAGAAAGATTGTGACTGTTAATACGTGTGTGTGTGTGTGTGTGTGTGTGTGTGTGTGCGTGTGAGAGAGAGAGAGAGAGACAGGAGAGAGAATGAGAATGTAACAAAGAGAGAGAGAGAGAGAGAGAGAGAGAAAGAGAATGAGGGACTGTACTGGCTACAATCAATGTACTAGCACATACTAGCATCATTATTTTATCACTGTAATCACACGCCTTATAATTCTAGCTGCATATTGTGTTAGGTGTGACACACAGTCCTGGTTGAGATAAAAACACATCTTGATCACACAATCATGTAGTATTTCACATCACATGTTGTTGGTCCAGTCCTCAGAAGACTATTTAAACATATCAGTTTACAAGACACAGTAACAAGACTGTTGTGCATCAGTGATTCCTTTCCCTAACGACAGGCCAGATTGTTGATCTGCCTCCCACAGGCCAGGAGTCTGGATAATCTGAAATAACATTAAAAGAGTGGATTATCTTTTAGTTTGCCCATGGTGCCAAGGATTTCTATTTACTATTATATTGGTTCAGTCATAACAATTACTTATTTTGGAACTGCTACACAACAATTTTGAAATTTCTTTTGACAGGAGCGAAATGTAGCGGTAACAATTTCATAAATAATTTTGTTCCAAAATAAGTGATTATTATCAATTAAATATGTGTAAAAAGAACAGATTAGTTGAGGTATAGAACAGGCACTGGCAGCACCTGCAATTATCTCAGACTGAACTGATAAAACTAGCCCATAGATGAGTGCTTCAACCCCCTTTCCCCTCAACTTTCCTGACAACTGTTTCCCTTAAAAAAATAAATTAACAAAATTTGTACACATTAAATATCCCATTATAATTTTTCAGTTCATTAGTTCAAAATTAGTAAAGAAAACACAGAGATTTAAATCTTCAGTAAAAACATATATCAGTAACTATAATTGGAACAAAACAAATTACAGAATAATTTCTATTCATGATTCATATTAAATTTGTTAAATAAAGAAGGACAGGTTGAGTCTGCCACTCTGATTTCAAATCAAAATACCACCCTACCCAATACCCCCCTTCTTGTTCCTGAGGTCAGTTTATGATTCACATCTCCCCTTTTTTGAGGGCCCTTATGGTCTAGGTCCTACCTTTTCTACTAATTCTTCAAATGCACATTGTACACCTTCTTTTGTCTTTGCGCTGGCTTCAATAAAAAGTGTTCTGTGTTTCCTGGCAAATTTTAAGCCTTCTTCCCTGCTAATTTCTCGTCCTTCCTTAAATAGGAAATAATTAAGAAATAACAAAAATAGTAAAGTTACACGCTTATGTATTTACAGTAACTACTAGTAGTATCCTATTCTTGTATAAAATAAATTATAATAGTATTTACAGTATATATAGTATCATCACTATCTTTAAACATCAATAATATATAAATATTATATTATGTACATTGAGCAAAAAATATAAATACTCTTCAATAAAGAGTGTCTATGATAACACTTCGTACATAATTAAAGCAATATATAAGAAATATGGATAATGATGCAAAACAATTCTTTAATACAATCATAGTTTAACATTTCCCATTTTACTTACCTTGTCAATCTTATTTCCTACCACCATTTTTATTAAATCATGCTTTGTAGCAAAAGTTTCTAATTCACTCAACCAGTTATCTAACCTCTGGAAAGTCTGTTTGTTGGCAACATCATACACTGTAATAATAATAATAATAATAATAATAATAATAATAATAATATACAACATTTTTAAGAACATTTTTCTATGCATCTATCTTTTAGCTCTTTTTGTCTCTTACTACCAGGATTATACCATTCTACCCATGATATCCTTATTTGATATCCAACAACTCTAAGACCCTTTCGGTTTATGTGGATTGGCCCAACTTTGCAGGGACTCTCACAATCAGCTTAACTGAATGACATGCCTCCTCTCATTTCCAACGCACTTAGAATGGGTTCCCACTGGTTTAGATCGATCCATCTGGATCGACCCAACTCCATGGGGGTTCACGCTAAATTGCTGTTAGCTTCCGAGAGCCGAGTGGGCACAAAAGTTAATTACCCCCTTACAGATTTTAGTAGGCGGGACAGAAATTTAAGCCGGTAAGCTGACAGCAATCTAGTGAGACTCCCCAGGGAGATAGATCGATCTAAATATCTGTGGGAATGGTCTCAAACTGATTTCATGCATGGAGAGTCCCTGCAGAGTTGGATCAATCTATGTAGGCAGATGGTGTCTGTGGGAATGGAGTCCCTGAATTTCCATGCAAATACCTAATATAACCCCCTGTGCTCCTCTGTAGTAGCTGGGTGTCAGGGTCCTAAACCTCTCCTGGCCTGCAGTATCCTGGATAGAAATTACAGTGATAAACTACATGATAAATTGTGTAACAACATTTGACCAGTGATCTACTATAATAAGTAACAGCATCATTTCTTTGTCAGTGCAACTTTTCACAGATTCCTTATTGATGTCAAAATATACAGGGGACAACATGGTTACATCCCACTATGCAACATGGTGATATGGCAAGCAATCTCTTTATATTTTTAGGTGCAAAATGGTTTTACTGTGGTAAGATGAAGTATTGTAACAGTTGTTGTTTGACTTTCAACACTGAAATAACTTTTCTTTTTTTCAAATTAGGAAGAAAATGAACTCCTTTACATTTTATCTCTTTTGAGCAGTTTTACTATTTACTGGTACATAACATCCTATTTTCGTTTGAAGATAATTATTATTTTCATTACTAGTACTCACCCAAATAGCTAATTTTGCTTTATTTCCATCTACTGACAATGTCTTCACTTTGAAGTCAACACCTAAAAACAATTTATTATTATAATTAAAACTTTAAAATCCATGTAATCTTCGCTCACAAGTACTACTACTACTACTACTACTACTACTACTACTACTACTACTACTACTACTACTAATTATTATTATTATTATTCAAATCACAATGAAAATAAAAAATGTTACAATAATGAATGTATAAACAATTAAATTAACAAATGAGTTAATAAATGCAATTTTCTCAACAAATTAAATAGGTTATATCTTGGTGATTTTAAGGAAAATATGCTGAAATTATTACGGAAATTCATTTAATACACTGCATGATTTTAAACATATAGATAAAGTAAGTTACAAACCTATTGTTGCTGCTTGCTCTGGGTCAAATGTATCATCTGTGAATCTCAATAATAAACTGAAACAGAAACATGGGGATTACCAAATATACACATATTATATACTGTGTACAGTAACACATCACATTTTAAGACTCCAAATTTCTTCTACCACAAACTAACTTGACCCCATTGCTACTTTGTATAATCAAAACAAATTTAACGGTAAACAAAGCATTCCACGATGTATATGCATGCATGCAGGGGCAGATCCAAGATTATTTGAAGGGTGGGGGGTCTGCGGAGTGGGTTCAGGGCCTGTATTGGTGTTTCAGAAGGCAAACAGTGCCACTTAGTATAGTTACGAATTAAAATTCAGCTATTCAAAATTCTTATTTTAAGATGGGGGCCATTGAAGTGATTTTTTTCAGAAATTGAATTGGGGGGGGGGGGGGGGGGGGGGGAGGGCCCCCCCACCCCCCCCCCAAATCCCCCC